ACTCAGTGCGTGTAGTCCCTACGCGCGGAAGAAGTGAAACTTAATAGAGGAACTTCTTCATCTTCATCTTCTTTTTTTTTATTACTAAAACCAGCTACTTACTTTACTTACGCTTATCACTTCAATGCTGCATGCTTCAAACATATCACGAGCATACATTATCATTGAATTTTCTTTTTTTATTTTATAGGATTTTAGTTGTTGAATATAGATAAATCCAAAATCGAGTCCCTTACGACAACGAAAATTCGTTAAATTTTCCAAAAACTGGCTTGAAAATTCATTCAGCTGTTGAGTTAATATTAAAGCAAAGGCCATATTCTATTGTAATTATTGCTAATTTTTATATGTAAAAAATATTTAAAATTTTGTAAATTACCTTAATCACTCTACGGTTGCGGTACTATGCCTAGAAAACATTTTTGTAAATACCTGCCCTTAAATGGCTTCTATAAGTCACAAATGTTTAGTATAAATTTAAATTTATATGCCATATTTAATGAAAGTACTGAAACCCACATAATTTGCTCTTTATGTATGTATGTATCACATTTCTGTTGTCATTACAAAAGGTCATAAGTGATGCCACTTGAAAAATTTAACATTATTGAAAAGCTGTTTTAAAGAGGCCGTTAAAGCTTTTTATAGAACCATTTTAAAAGTTCTCCACTATAAAAAAAAATCTCAAAATTCCACTTACGACCTTTTACACTGATGACGACGCATTCTATTCTGTCATTATTAAAAATTTCATTTAGCATTTAAGTAATTTTCGCATACAGCTTTTTCTAAGCTCAACTAAACTATATCAAAAGCTCATCGGTTACAAATAAAAAGCTATCATTTTGCCACAAAGTAGACTAAATACATATTTCACCTTCATCACATTGCCTTTTTTGTGTTTCCTTAAGGCGGATTCAACGCTTTAGTTCAGAACTTTACCTTCATGGAAGAAAAAGTACAGAACTAGAACGATGAATCCGCCTTTAAGCTTTTGTATTTTAATTTATAATTGAGAATTTATTTTATGTAGAGCAAATTCATTTCGACTTCATTTTGCCAATATTAACTACTTAAATAAATAGTATTTAATTTGTTGTTGTAATGAAAAAATATTTAACAAAAATTTTCATTTACATAATTTAAATAAAGCATTATTTTTAACAAAAATCAATCATCGAAAAAGTTTTTTATTTGTTGGAAACTAACCTCCATTCACATTGTTCGGCTTCACTAAATTGTTCTCGGAACACTAACCAATTAAAAACAAAAACGCTTTCACGGCAAGCAAAAGCTCCACATAACAAAAAAATGCGATGCGTGAAGGTGCAATTGTACAAAATTAAGAGAACATAAAAAAAATAAAAATATAATTGGTAAGTGGCTAACTTTTCTTACACACTAATTTGGGTTCCTAAAAGTCTGTAAATAGCTCCCATATTCCCATTCGTAAATAGAAAGGCAGCTCTTTGAACCGCACAAATTTTCATAAAAGCTCTGCTGAAAAGTTTGGCTAAAAAAGCTTACTTGCAAACATTAATACAAATTTAAAGAAAAATTAAAACTTTCCAAAACCCATTCGTCATCGTCACCTTCCCAACCCCCTTTGCCATACTACAAGCATTTGAACTCTTCTATCCCCTTCTCTCTCGCGCGCATCCAACCACTTTACAGGTCGGCAGCTATTCGTACGAGCCGAGCGCCTTCAAATTTGGCGATATCTCGCACAGTTACGCCCAACTGCAAGTGCCACAGCGTAATTTCTGGCAACGTAATTTCTACATTTCTTTCGATTTTCGTTCCTTCTACCCGAACGGTTTGATTTTCCTAGCACCGGGCTCCAAGGAGAAACACAAGCACTATGTGGCGCTCCTACTCAAAAATGGTCAGCTGTTGCTGATTGTGCGCGGTCGTCGACGTGAAGAATTAAAATTGACAGCCAAATTGGACGATGGCGAATGGCATCACGTGACGATTTTGTGTCAGGAACGCAAAGTTACCATGTCTGTGGAGATTGGTCAGACAGATCAGAAGACATCAGCACAAATGAAGGTGCCAAAGAAGATTGCCGCCACGAATGTGGTCTACGTTGGTGGTTTGCCGGAGAAGGTGCCAAAGCTGCCATCGGAATTGTTGCAACGATTAGAGCCATTCAAGGGCTGCCTGCGACGCATGAGCATCAATAATAGTACACAAGATCTGGCGAGGCCTGGTAAACATCAGCATGTTGGACAATGTTTTCCGAAAGTGGAGAAAGGATCTTATTTTCCCGGTGATGCCTATGCGATTTATAGTAAGTGAGAATAATTGTGTTGTGTGATAAGGTAGTGTAAGATAAAACGATTTTGCTTCATCATTGAGCAACATCAAGAATACTTCATCAGGTAGGTTACGAGATTACATTGACGGTTTCATGGGATGACAACGGTCGACTCAAAGAGCTCATACCCTCAAGTGGCACAAAGTGGAATAAAATGCTAACTTCGAAAACTTTGTTTGAGTTATTGTATATAATATTAAACAAGAAGGTTCATGACCAAAGTTCGCCCAAAAAGTGATACGACTGGATTATAAAAAATAACTTGGGCCACATTAGCAGACTATGCCGGCATTTTTGGAAGCGTACTTCTTGAGTGGGTTAAGATTTATGGAATTTTTGACCTCACGGTTTCGACTTCGAGAACATAGTTATATGAAAAGTTAACTGTTCAAGCACCCTCTATCTAGGTCGATGTATACTGCGAATGCAAACCGTGAAAAAGCATTCAAAAGTCAACGACTTGTATGGAATATGCATCAAAATAGAACCAGGAACGTGGATCCCATGCGTTTTCTTTCTTTTTTTTTTGTACCAAAAAATAAGTCCATTTCACAACCAAAATACTTTACTAATCCCAAATAATTTCAGAACGCAATTTCCATGTTGGCAAATACTTGGAATTCGAGCTGGATTTTCGCACCTCAGAACTGTTCGGTGTTCTACTGAGCATCTCAGAGCCGTCAGGTTTTCCAGCGTTATCGCTCGAGCTCAATAATGGCAATGTAAGCGAAAGTTGTTTAAGTTTTCTATATTTTCTTCTAATTCTTAACTCAATATTTTTCCAGATCATCTTCTCAACCGATCTCGNTAAAGTAAACGTTTTTTTATACACTGGGACAGGATCAAAACTGTTGACCAACGCTGTTTTCAATAAAGAATAACGAGCGTAATGCCGAATTTCACTGGAAAATAAAATGGCAAAAAATGTGTGCCATTGTTGAAACGAACTTAAGGACTATTCTTACAAAAGTTTATTATTAAAATGTTTGTCATTGAATGCCTAGTGTAAATCCGGCATAAAGAATCACATCAAATAATCATTTTCTCTCTATATTTATTTAGAAATCGCGCCCACTGGCACGCTGCTGACGCGCGAAAATTTCAAAGGCTGCATACGCAATGTGTCCATACGACAGGAGAGACGCGATTGGGTCGATATGGATGAGTTGCATAATGTGCTGCTGAGTGAATGTCTGGTCACAGGAGTGGAGCCATGATTACTTAGTGAGGATGCAACTGTGGATGTGCCTTAAAGCATTGTAGATATGTACAGTTTTCCTGCCTGCCGTGATATAAGATAATGTCTACAAAAGCTAACGCACTCTAGACGGTCTTCGAATTGGTGCAAAAAGGACGCATAGAGTCATAATTGTGTTTATTTCTTTTGTAAAGAAGTCATTATGAGTTTCTCCTAACAGCCAATTTAAGTTTATTCGCCTGGCAAGTAGATAAAAAATTTAAGAACCGATTAAAAATAGTACAAAAGAGTTGCAATCAGTAGCATCTTAGCCTTGGAGAATAGAGTTGGAAGCCATTTNTGAAGTATGGAAGAGGGAAAAAAAAATTTTCTAATAGCGTTGAATCAGTTTGAAATGGTGAAATACTAAAGTTTATCAAAAAAGAACTAAAAGAAAACTATGCAAATTAAGTGAACAAAAAACTAAAGAAACGACGTTTTTTTTGCGCAGAAAATTAAAAAAATTGTTTCATAAATGGACAGTTGACACTAGTGATAAACGATATGGACGTTGAAATGATCCTGCTTTCTGGATTCCAATTAACAGTCATGAATCTGACTAAAACAATTTTTCAACCCAACACGCAGACGCCCTTTCAAAACTTTTGTTCTCGCGTTGTTCTCTAGCAGAACGTTTCCAGACTTGTTCTTATTTGAGAACGTTCTCGACAGTTTTGCTCGCTCTTTGTTTTTTTACGGAAGCGCCACCGAACCTTTTGCTCTCATTTTGTTCGTGTTCACTCTTGTTGGAACGTTCTTGGCATAACATTTTGTTCTCGTGCAGAACTAAAGCAAAACCCGAGCGCGTTCTCGGTAAAGTAAACGTTTTTTTATACACTGGGACAGGATCAAAACTGTTGACCAACGCTGTTTTCAATAAAGAATAACGGGCGTAATGCCGAATTTCACTGGAAAATAAAATGGCAAAAAATGTGTGCCATTGTTGAAACGAACTTAAGGACTATTCTTACAAAAGTTTATTATTAAAATGTTTGTCATTGAATGCCTAGTGTAAATCCGGCATAAAGGATCACATCAAATAATCATTTTCTCTCTATATTTATTTAGAAATCGCGCCCACTGGCACGCTGCTGACGCGCGAAAATTTCAAAGGCTGCATACGCAATGTGTCCATACGACAGGAGAGACGCGATTGGGTCGATATGGATGAGTTGCATAATGTGCTGCTGAGTGAATGTCTGGTCACAGGAGTGGAGCCATGATTACTTAGTGAGGATGCAACTGTGGATGTGCCTTAAAGCATTGTAGATATGTACAGTTTTCCTGCCTGCCGTGATATAAGATAATGTCTACAAAAGCTAACCCACTCTAGACGGTCTTCGAATTGGTGCAAAAAGGACGCATAGAGTCATAATTGTGTTTATTTCTTTTGTAAAGAAGTCATTATGAGTGTCTCCTAACAGCCAATTTAAGTTTATTCGCCTGGCAAGTAGATAAAAAATTTAAGAACCGATTAAAAATAGTACAAAAGTGTTGCAATCAGTAGCATCTTAGCCTTGGAGAATAGAGTTGGAAGCCATTTGTTAGTTATTGAACGCGGTCTAAAACTAATGCAAAATGAAAAAGTTCTACGCCTGTAGAC